AGGAAGAAGGACAGCACTTGGGAATGAGGGTGCTGGGAGCAAAGGGCACAGCAAGGGATCCCTGCAGGTATTTGGAAGTGAAGATTGCTGTAGCAGAGACAGAAACGCTCCTTTGAGAGCACCTTGGGAAGTGCAGCTGGCAGGACTCAGCAATCAGAACTCATAACCTACCTGGTGGAGGGATGAGCTGTGCTTATTTTACCTGTAGGCAGGCAGCAGTTCCAGCCCTATGGGAGAGCAGAGCTGGCTGCAGCTGTTGAGGCAGGGGCTGCCTTTTCCATCTTAAAGGGATCTCTCAGCTTTGCAGCAACAGAAGGCAAAGAACTCAAGGTGCAATTAAAATGGAAGCACACCACAGACAAGGCAACCAGCCTTGTTTTTGCCATTTGACCTGCAATTATAGGTGTCCACCAAGTAACCATGCTACTCAGTTTGAAAACCCTATAGTGTGCCCCCTTAGCATTCACAGTAGAAGTCACTATAGGTTCCTAACAGAGGAAAAAGAAAAAAAGACAGGTGCAATTTCAGAGTCTCCAAGCAAAAGGATGGCCTTGAAAGGACTATCTCATGTCCAGCCACAGCCAGCCTCAGGCAACAGGAATGAGAAAGACGGGATGAACAAGCAAATCATTCCCTATTTCCTCAGATTTTACACTGTGTTCTGACATTTGCAGTTCCAATTTCCAACTCAGTATTTCTTCACTTTTGGAATCGCTGTATTTTGTGGCATCTGCAATTTTTTGCAGTATTTGAAATAGGTAACTTCCTTCATGTATTCTGAACTTGTCATTTCCTGTCCTCATTTGATGCCACCTCACTGCTGCTTAAGAAGAGACTGTGAGCAGCTGCTGTTTATGCTCTGGCTCGTTCTACTCACAAAATGCTGACTCAGGGGCCAGTTAAGCCAAACCAGTTATGAGAAAAGCTTGGGTCACAGCTGAGGGATGCAATCCTGTATTTACACAAGTGTAAATGTACTAGAACTTGTCATAGAAACAAGTATGTTCAGCTCTTTAATTATTGTATTGTCTACTGTATCTAGTTTCCTACTGCATTAATCCCTGTCTTGAGATAGTTTTTGTTATGTAATTGGTGTTAATGATTAGTGTTCAGCATTAATTAAACAGATTGGTTTTCATTCTCAGATGTTTCACTTAAGATGCCTTCAGGCTACTAAACTGGGAGGGAGGTTTTTTTTTTAATCATGTCTTCATTAGTGCTTATGTCTCTTTTATCTGCAGATTTCCTTTGTACTGCAACATCAACCAGGGTACTAACAGCTTTTCCTCCTCTCAGCAGCAACTAAGCTCCAGTAAAGGATGCCTAGTGATACAATTACAGCTCATACCTTTTGTTATTTTGGTTCCTGCTCTCCTGGCTGTGTTTTGAATCATGAATGATAGATAGTATGATATTTACATACCAATTTTGCAACTTAATTTTAGTAGTAGCTGCATGACATGTACTAGGGTTTTCAGGTGAGCCTCTAGAGTTTAATAACATCATTTCCTTTTTAAAAGTTTATTTGATGATAAAGTGTCCAAATGTGGACAGGTAACAATTGCAAATTTTGTTAACAGTAAAGGCAGAAGAATTAATTGCCATTGTTAGGACATCACGTATAACACAAAGTGGAAAATGTCATTTAAGAACTACTGTTTTTCTACTGTCTCCTCTGTGATCTACAGTAAACCATTGGGGAAGTCATCCAATCTTCACTTATAGATGAGGTGAATCTATCACCTTCCTGTGTTCCTGTGGTTAATTGTCTTCACCACCAGAAACGTGAATCCTGTTTTGCATTGGAGCCTGTTCATTTTCAGGTTTTGGTCCCTGAATCCTGTCATTTCTGTGCCTCATCTATGTAAAGTGCCCTAGCCTAATGGAAATCTTCACTTCTGTAAAGATAATTACAGGTGCCCAAGTGTTATGTCTATTTTGAATTTCAGAATGGAACTGGTTAAAACTCTGGCAATCATTAGTGAGGAGGATTAAACTGTTCTTTGTATGGGTTAGAAGGTAGGATGCTTCTGTAGCAAGAATCAATATCCTACCCTAAGAGGTAGGAGTTGGTTGCTGGTCTCTGATCAGATCTGCCCAAATGAGCAGGGTCAGGTAGATTTTTGTGTACCAATACTGATTAGAGTGAAAGAAGTGCCATACTTTTCCAGAAAGGGAGACTTCTGTTATTGCTGCTTGTTACCTTCATTTCCTACCTGGTTTTGGATTACAGATGATGAAGTTTGATTGGTCATTTTGCACTGGGTAAAGTATATAGCAATATAGAATTATTGTGAATGACAGACATCCTCCTTTCTGAGGTGATCTGATCTCCACAGCACTGATTTCTCAGCTGTGCTGTGCCTGCCATTTAGAGCCATGGGCTAAGTTCTCTATTAAGAGCTTGGGTTGGACTGAGAATGTAGAAAAGGGTCCAGTTTTTCTTCATTTAGCAGCAACAGCTATCTTCAGACTTCCCCAGCTGACACCCATTACCCCAAAAAGTTGCCTTAGGTCTTGAGGCTCAGAAGTTAATAAGGAAGGAACAACATGAAAGCAGTAACAAACATAACCTTGCTTTGGTTTTTTCAATATCAGGTGTCAAGAGGCCAGGAAGAAAAAAATAATAGAGCTGGCAAAATACTCCTGAATGCCACTGTCCAGCCATTTTCAAAAATGAAGGATTCTCCTCAGCACGGCATGCTTGTGTTTCATATTCTCTTGGATCTTAGTAAATCCTATAACAAAGTATTGCAGCTCTATTGTTCACTTAAGCATATTACCTAACACAAATGACAATCTCTCTTCTTTTTGTTTCAGCCCTGCTATGATACACACACCTTGGTCACAGAGTGGGATTCTGTTAAACACTTGTGTTTACTTGTAGCTGTTTGTCAGTTCAAACTGACTTCTTTTTAACATCTCCTTGTGCTTCTGGTCCTGACCTCTGAGGAGGGAGGTCACACCAGTCATGAGTTAAATGTTGGGTTTGGTTCTGTGTACATGGAACAAACCACAAGGCTGGATTACAATTTCACCTCTTTCATAAATACCAGTCTTCATGTTCATACCTTCTTCTGTTAGCAAAGGTGTGATATAATAAAATGGAGAAAGAGGCTGAGGTTCTGCTCCTTGCTCTGCCCACACATTATCCAGGGCAGCCTTCACCATCACATCCAGCACCAGGGGCCTTTTCCAAGGCTCAGCAGAGTCAGCTGAGACCATTGATTTAAAATGATGAATTGACTTTTCATTGCTCATGTGGTGAGCAATGGTGATTCATCTGCTTTGCAAAAGGAAGTCCTCTGGATGGAGGAAATGGCCAGGAGACATAATCCCTTCCTGATTCCCCAGTACATCTTTCCTTATTTGAAAATAATTATGTGACTTTTTAAAAATATAATTTCTCTCAGAAATGAAATTCTAACTAAATACATTGTGGTACAGATTTCAAGGTTAATTTCCTTGATGGATAATCTTAAATTTATATTGGTCTAATCTTTTAACCCCCTTCAGAGTCAGTAAATTACAATTTGGTGACAACAGTTTTTTCCCAAATATTTTTCCCTATGTAAGGTGTCCTCCTAACAAGGGGTCTGCAATAATATTATAATTGTGTGGTATTTCAAACTGACTGTTTAAATGTGCTTTACCTCATGTTAAAGTGAGTTGATATAAAGAGTGTTCTTTCAAATGCTGCTTAAAAGGACATATTTAAAGCTCTTAGAAGTATAGCTGGTTTATTTTTCCCTACCTAATGAGATTAAATATAATTTAAAATGCCTTTCTGTAAGGGAAAGATGAAGACACTTTGCCTTAATTTAAGAGGAGCCTGTAGCAGTATTTTATAAAAAATTAATTAGAAGTTGTTCACTTTAGGGGAGCCAGCCTGAAGCATAGATCCTCCTACATGGGTTTACATTTCTAAAGCCTGCCTGGCAGACAAACGTGTACTTCTTCAAGATGCTCCCATCCAACTCCTTCACTCTGGTAGTTTATTGTGGGCCCCAGATTCAGTCAAAGAGAGAAATGGAGAGTTTCTTGCCAGACAGAAGCCTGGGAAAGATTTGGAGAAGAATGTAAATAATTCTTTATCTCTCGTGTTGCTCACATTGTTTATAGTTAAGTTCTATCACTGTGCGTCAAGCACTCTGCACCAATGGTGTGGCTTGTTTTCACTTCAGGAGCAATGGAATTGATCCTCACAAAACTCTGTATAAAAGACCAGTGTATTTTGAATACACCAGAGTTTTACACTCAGTAGCCTTTGGAGTCTGCCTTCTCATTCCTATCCTGCCTCACAGCGACATGCTCCCGACAGGCTCTGGAAGGCAGAGCACAGCCTGCCTGCCTCTGCCACCAGCACAGCCCAAACACAGGCGGAGGAAGAAGCAGCAGGGGCTGTTTTGCGGCCGTGCCCAAGAGAGACTGGAAGGGTGCCCTCCCTCTGCTCTCACTTGCTTGGCTTTCCGACTGGCTCCGAGACTGGGGCTGCCATTCCTCACTTGTGGGGACCAGAACCACAGCCGGGATCCCGGCACTGCCTGGCAGCGCTCCGGGCACTGGCAGGGTCGCGCGTCCCAGTCTCGGGCACCGCGCTGCTGTTTCCTTTGCCCTCAGGCACACCCAAAGCTCCCTGCTAAGCCCGGGTGGTCGCTGGTTCTGCCCTCTCCCTGATCCTGTGCAGGGATGGAGCACTGCTGAGCTTTCAGGAAGCTATTCCTGAAAACTTCCAGCATTCCAAGCTCCTTTGCCCTCTGTGGAAGCTTGCCATGGAATCCCTCACAGCTGGCTTCAGAGCATACTCAGGTTGGCTCTTCCAAATTCCAGGGGCTCCAGGCTGCCTGGAACTGCACCTTCAGCACAGGCACCTTTCCAGCCTGATCTGCCCTCGTTCTGTGTGTGTGTGCACAGAACACGGCGTGGAAGAGAACAGCAGCATGGGCCTGCGTGTCCCAGGGCCCGGGATTTGCACCGCTTCAGCTCCACAGAGATGCAGGTAAGGGGAGAAACCAAACTCTTTATTAATGGAAGGGAAAGGGAAGGGATGAGATGGGGGCAAAAAAAGGGGGATGGGCAGGGTCTGAGGGCTGGAGGGAAGGAGCTGTCAACAGGGAATGGGGAGGGAGCTGTCAACAGGGAGGGGGAAGGCAGCAGCTATGGGAGCTTCCCACAGGCTCAGTTATGGCCAGCAGCAGCTGTGCCTGGAGCTCCAGTGACATTGAGTCCTGGTGCTCTCTTCACTGTCTCTGGGTACTCGTCTTGGGATCGTGGTTCTCCGAATCCAGCAGATGACCTCAGTTCTGCACATCTTCGTCCAAAACTTTCCTGAATTTCCAGGTACGTGGAGGATGGGCTGTCATCTTCGCTCATGGTTTCAAGGGCTGGAAGACAGATAAACTACCACAGTCAGAGCCCAGAGGGCCACCCGGTGATTCTTCTGCTAAGGCCATCTCTCCCAGCTCTTGCCATGCCTAACAGAGATGAGGAGCCAACGGGATCAGCCGCAAGGCGCTGGTCACGAATCCCCCCAGTGGCGTCCCTGAAATCTCTCTGTGCCCTGCCCACACCAGCACTCGTCCACACAAGGAGCGAAGCTGGCCGCAGCCGGGACAGGGATTGCAGCTCCCTGGCCGGCATTGCAGCTCTCCCGGCCAGCCCCCGCTGACAGCCCGCTGCCCCCACTCACCCTGAGAAAGAACCTGAAGCTCGGCTGGCTGTCCCTTCAGGTACTGCCCGGCCGTCCCTGGGAACACAGAGCCTGTCAGGCCCAGCGGCACAGCTCCCTGCCAGCGTGCTGCCAGCCTTGGGGCCACACGCCCTCCTGGCCCGGCAGGGCTCAGCCCGGGCCCTCGCCGCACGCTGCCGCCCCAGGGCACGGCGGCCAGAGGCACTGGGCCCGGGTGGCGCTGCCGGGGCAGCAGAGGGGCTGGGGCCGAGCTGCGGCGGGGCGGGGAGGGAGCCCGGGCTGGTGGCTCACCCATGAACCTGACGGCCGCCTCTCGCAGGGGCTCCTGTGGGCTCTCCAGGTAGGGCAGGGCCCGGCGCAGGTGCTCGGCCGCTCGGCTCCTGTCCTCTGCCAGCTGGAGAGAGCGGCAGCAGGGAAGGGTTGGCGCGGGCTCAGCCCCTGTGCTGGGCGCTCCCTGCGCCAGCCCCGGCCTCCCCTGCCCGTACAGCCCTGAGGCCCGGCCAGCAGCCGCTGGTGCCGGGCTCTGGAGGGGGCAGAGGGCCGGCTGCTGCCCGGGGAGCCGCGGTGCCGCCCCGCAGCCCCGCCGGGCCGCGGCTCCATCGGCACCCGGCTCGGGCCGCAGGAGCCTGGAGCAGAGCCCGCGCGGCCTCGGGCTGCAGCAGCGGGCAGGGGCACAGCTGCCAGCCCGCACACCGAGCACCGCACCCAGGGGGCTTCTCCAGGCTGAGGCTGCGGCTTCCCGGCCCTCCTTACCAGGCAGTTGGCGAACTTCAAAAGCTTCTCCTTTACCATCTGCTTCATACCCTTCTTCTTCAGGAACCCAGCAGCACAAAGCAGTGTTTTCTGAGAGGCCTGGAGAGCAGCAGAGACCCAGAGATGGCCCCAGAGCCCAGGGCGCAGGACCCGCGTCCCTGTGCCAAGGCCCGGAGGAGGCTGCAGCCCGCCAGGCTCCAGGGTGGGAGGCAGCTGAGCCCCCTCCCAGGGATCCACCAGCATCACACAAAACCTCACATTTGCCACACGCTGGTTGTCCTCATGGCAGTGCAAGAAGAGGGGGATCTGGCTCTGGTTCACAATTCTCTTCAGGGGCTTTTTTGCCTCATCCACTACTAAGTCCATCACCTTTTCAAAAAGTTGAATGGAGAGCAGCTGCACATGGCTGCTGTCCTGGAGGAAAGGAAGCAGAAAAGTCCTCAGAAACAACTTCTCAAGCCCACCTGAGTAAAAGACTAAAAATCCACAGGGTGCAAAGTTTATGGGCAGCAGCCAGTCCCATGCTTGGGGACACGAGCCTTACATGATCAAAGAGTGGTAGGAGTGCCTCAGCTAGCTTTGGGGCAGTAGTGCTGGATACCAAGATATTCTTGTTCTGGAGAACATTCATGAAGACAGAGAGGGACATGCTGACCACCTCTCCATGTGCATCCCCCAGCAGCTCCAGAAGCCCTTGAGACAGCGGGTACATTCTTCTGGCCTGTGCGGAACACAAGGCTGGGATGGGAAGCTGTGGACGGCTGCATGGCCAGCACCGCCCTGGCGCTGCAAGCCCACCCTGCTGCTGCAGGGCCCACGGGGCCCCAAAGCACTGGGGCAGGTGAGGCAGGAGAGCTGGGAGCAGCTGCCTCAGCTCCTGAAGCCCTGCCAGCCCAAGGGGCTGCTTTGCCTAGCACAGCTTCAGCCGCCGCCCCTTCTCACCATCACAGGATCCTTGGCGAGCACCACAAGGCCTCGGAGCGCCAGGCGACGCCGCTCCCTGCACTCGCTCCGCAGGTACCTTGACATCATCTCCAGAATGCTGCCACCGCATTCACTCAAGTCCAGGCCCCCGAGGACCTGAAAAGCACAGGGCAGTGACAGGGGAGCCGGCCGGCAGGAGGCCAGAACCGCACAGGGCTGGGCCCAGGCAGCAGCACGGGGCGTGGGCACCGTCCCAAGCAGCTGTGGCTGCGAGAGGGCAGAGAGCTGGGAGGCAGCTGAGCCAGGCAGCGCTGGCCATCAGGCTCACCTCCACCAGGAATGCCAGGAAGGGCAGATCCCAGCATGGCTCTTCCCTGCTGTGTGGCCGGAGCAGGCGGAATGCAATGTAGGAACAGAAGGGGACCGAGACATGGCGCAACTCCCTGGCAGGGGGAAAAAAGGCCCTGAGGTGGGAAGGCCAAACCCCTCCCAGGAGTGACTCACAGAGGTCTGGTCTTTCCCCAGCATCCCTGGAGAGGATGTGGGCGCTTTGTGAGGCGGCCCCTTCTGGGCACCCTCCTCTCCAAGCTTTTTCCAGTTTCCTTGGCCATCCCTTGGTGAAAAGGCCCTCTGGCCCATGACCGCAGGAACTGTGAGGGGCACCTGGGCACAGGGCACAAATATTGGGGACCGTGGGGAGAAGGGGGTCTCACCTGGCCAGCAGACCCACGGCATAGTGCTGGGTGTCAGCACACAGCAGCGTGTCCCAGCCACGCTTGCGCTCCATAGCCACCACCACATGGTCCCACTGCAGTCGGCAGAGCAGAGCCTTCATGGCCTGCACTGCAAACCTGTGTGCAGAGCAAAGCCCAGGTCACACTGGGAGCACTGGCACTGGCCACAAGGGCACGGGAAAGGACGGGGGGACTGGGACCTGTTGGGCTTGCTGTGAAGGCGGTGTTCCTCCCAGCATGCTCTCCAGAATGTAGCAGCTTCCTCTGGTGGTATCTGCTGTGTGGTGATGACAACATGGAAGAGCAGAGCCACAAACAGGCGGGAGGAATAAAGGTTCATCGCCTCCTGGCACTCGGGCACCTGGAGAATCACCCAGAGCACCAGAGTTGCCTGCAAGAGAACAGCCCAAGGCAGCGCTCAGTGACGAGGTGTCCATGGGGCAGGATCCAAGAGCCGATGCAGGGGGAGCAGTGGGCTGGGTGCCCCCTGAGCCTGCCCCTAGCCCAGGTTTCAGCCCAGCAACTGAGGCTTAGAGAGGATGGAGAGCTGCTGGCAACCTGGGGGTGAGCAAAGGCCAGTTCCAGAAACTCACAGCCAGGGCAAAGACATCCTCGTTGTCCCCATCAGAGGTGCACATGCTGTGCAGAGGCCAGTTCTCCATCACACAGAGCAGTGTTGGCAGCACCTTTTCCACTGTGGGACTCGATGAGCCTATGGTTCTCCACATCATTGCAGCGGCTCTGTGGGATCAGAGCTCTGTGTCAGGGGCATCTCAGTCACAGCACCATGCCCTGTGCACCCGTGGGGGCCCAGGTGACAGAGCCTTGAAGGGCATGGGGGGAGTACTGGCAGCAGGCTCAGCAAACAGAGGGGCCCGAGGCTCCTGGGCCTCTCTGCCTGTCTGGCAGAGCCCCTTGGGCAGGCTGTGCAGGGCTGTGGGCCCTAAAGGCTGCTGAGCCCTGAGCTCTCAAGGCTCGTGGGCCCCATACCTGTCACACGTTGGGGCACAGCGCAGGAGGGTCAGCACCATGTCAGCAGGGTGTTCTTCAGCCAGCCTCAGAATGTCAATCTGCAGCCAGGCATCCACAGTGACTTGGGACATGAGACTCTGGTGGATGTTCTTTACCTTGGCTGGCACCTGGAGGAAGCATGGGGGAGAGATGGAGCATTGTCCAAGGGAACAACTTCCCCAGCTATTTCAAAGAAGTGCTTCCCTTCTTCCACACTGTGCTGTCCTCAAAGGCTGAGGGGGCCCAGAGACCATGGCTTGAGGGGACACACGATGCTGGGAGGCCTCCAGGCCTGGCCCCAGGCTGCTTACCTGCTGTGACTGAGAAGAAACACAAGGGTCCTTGAAAAAGTCGAATATGAGTTCCTGACTCAGAGTGGGAGAGGGCATGGTGTCAGTATTTGCGATGCCCTGAGTGTGTCTGGTTTTGGCGTTTGTGATGTCCACATCCTCAGTCACTGCCATGTCAGCCTTTGCCCTCTGGTCATTCATTGCAGCCTCAGAGTCTTCTGAGGGTTCTGCTGGATCTGTGCTGGTGTCAGTATTTGTGATGCCCTGAGTCCCTTCATTGTTAGTGTTTGTGATGTCCACATCCTCAGTCACTCCCATGTCAGCCTTTGCCCTCTGGTCATTCATTGCAGCCTCAGAGTCTTCTGAGGGTTCAGCTGGATCTGTGCTGGTGTCAGTATTTGTGATGCCCTGAGTCTCTTCAATGTTAGTGTTTGTGATGTCCACATCATCAGTCATTGATGTGAGGAGAGCCTTTGCCCTCTGGTCATTCATTGCAGCCTCAGAGTTTTCTGAGGGTTCAGCTGGATCTGGGCTGGTGTCAGTATTTGTGATGGCCTGAGTCTCTTCATTGTTAGTGTTTGTGATGTCCACATCTTCAGTCACTGCCATGTCAGCCTTTGCCCTCTGGTCATTCATTGCAGCCTCAGAGTCTTCTGAGGGTTCAGCTGGATCTGGGCTGGTGTCAGTATTTGTGATGCCCTCAGTCTCTTCATTGTCAGTGTTTGTGATGGCCACATCCTCAGTCATTGATGTGAGAAGAGCCTTTGTGCAGGTTTCAGTCACTGAGGTGTGAGAGTTCTCTGAGCGCTCAGATGAATCTGGGCTGACATCAGGCTCAGCCTGGAGCTCGGTCAGCCCCGACTCAGGCTCAGGCTCGGCCGGGCCCTCAGCTGCTGCGCTGCCGGTCTTGCTGCGTCGAATGCGCGGGGATTTCCAGAACGTCTGCAGGAGAACAAAGGAAAGTGAAGCCAGGGATGTTCCATGGAGTGCTCCAGGCATGGTGCTGGGCTGAGCAGTGACAGCAGGCCCAGCCCAGGTGGGGATGGCTGCAGGCACCTTCAGGGTTTTGTGGAAGCGGCCACGGGAGGGTTTCTTCTCTTCTGTGCGGTCCAGGGTTGCATCTGGCAAAGAGTGAGCACAGCCAGAATTGAGGGGCTGCGAGAGAGGCCGGAGAACACAGCCCAGCCCTGCGCTCCCCAGGCAGGGACAGCCCCGGGATACCCCAGGGGATGGAGCACGGCCACTGCGGGGTGTCTGCCCGGGCCCTCTTCCCTCCTGTCCATGGGCACGTCCCCAGGGGATGGGATGGGATGGGATGGGATGGGATGGGATGGGATGGGATGGGATGGGATGGGATGGGATGGGATGGAGCAGGGCCAAGGTGGCTGCAGGCATCAGCCCTGTGGCCCAGCTCTGCCACTCACCGTCCTCCAGTGGCTGGAACTGCTCCGGGTTTTCATGCTGTTGTGCTGGAGCAGCTTCAGGGCTTTTCTTTTTCTTCCCCCTGAACGCTCTGAACGAGCCGAGAAGTCTGCTCTCCATGCCAGAGTCTGGTATTGAGGGCACCTGACAGACAGATGGCTTGGGAAAGCTCCAAGTCAACAAGTCCTCAGGGGCACCTGCAAAAGAGAAGCCTCGGGAAGGCCACGGACTGCCAAGTCCTGTGGTCTTGCCACGAGGTCACCTGTAGGAGTAAAGCCTCAGAAAAGCTCCGGGTCAGGCATGAACAAGCGCGCTGTGCGGGGGCTCCTCATGGCACCGCTCTGTCCCGTCCTGTCTGGTCGCCTGCTCGGAGCAGAGTGGCGTGCTCTGGTCACTGCCGGCTCCTATGTCAGCACGTGTCACAAAGGCCATCCTGATCCGTTCTATGCCGTAGTGACCATGCTGCACCATGTCACAAAGGGGCCTTGCACACACTGCCACCTGCCCTGGGGCCACGCCCTGCCCACCCAAAGTGGCCCAGGTTGGAAGGAATCCCTGGCCCCAAGTGTCTGAGACAGCCCAACAGGATTTTTAGGAATGGCTCAGACCATCAGCAAACGCTGCCCTGCTCTGCGGGCTCAGGGCAGCAGAAGGAGCCCCCAGGGCTGCCGACACAGCCGCGCTGGGAAGGGCACGGGACCTTCCATGGAAGCTGGCATGGCCTCCTCAGGACGCGTCCCGGCCCGTGGCCATCCTAAACCCGCGGGTGTGGCACGCACAAGGAACTGTGGGCCAGGGCACGAATGCTGCCCTGAGCCCTGGGGCCCGGGGAACGCTGACACCAGCAGCTGTGGCAGAGTCCCCACCCAAGCAGAGCTGCCAGCCCCCGAGCCCTGGCAGGGCTGGTGCCCGTCTCCTGCCCCAGAGACCTGTGCCCCTGGGAGCCTTCTGTGCCAGAATGGTCCACACCCACGTGCACTGGGGGCTGTGCTCCTGCCTGCAGGGGCTGTTGGCAGGAGCACCTGGAGCAACTGGTGTCAACACTGAGCTGATGGCAAAATGGTTAACCCTGCCCCGGTATAGAGATCTAAGTGGCTAATAAAGTACAGCTCTCCCCCCTTGTTCCCTGCAGCACAATCAGGACCATGAACACAAACAGTCACAGATATTCTTTCTGCACCCCATAACCAAGGCTGTGCCAAACTACAGATGCTGCCTTCAAATGGACTCAAATTCCAGCCTAGACCTCTCACTCCCAGACAACTCCTTCCCCAACCCATCTCCAACACCAACACCCTGCAAACACCACACCAAAACCCTCAACAGCCCGCCAGGACCCCCAGCTGTCCCTGTCCCTCCGCAGAGCTCCCCTCCCTCCAGCAGACCCCCTGGTTCCCTGCACGTGCCGTGGGATGGCCTCAGGAGGATCTGCTCCAAGGCCTTCCCCGGCAGCAAGCTCAGGCTGCCAGGCCTATGGATCCTGGATCATCCTTCCCACTGAGCCTTCCATTGGCACGGCTCTTCCATTGGCACATCTGTGCTCAGCTGGGACTACTCAGCTCACCCAGGGCTGCTGGGAAAGGATGGAGAGAAGCCTGGCAAGCTCTTTCTCCAGCTCCCTCCGTATTACTGGGGAAGGTAGAACCTTCCACAGGAAAGCAACTAGTGCCACAAGGAGCGGGTGGCATCAGGCAGCTCTGGGGAAGCCCCTCAGGAATGCTGTATCCTGAGGGAACACCGTTGGTCTTGACCTGTTGGCACCAGCAGAAGCTTAAAATCAGCTGCCTCAGCTTCCAGGGCCTCTCTTGGCCAGCATCCTGACGTGGATGCAGGACGGCTGCCAGGCCCTGCTGGGACCCAGAGGGACAGGACCGGCTGTCTCGTGTCCATGCAGCACCCGTGACACAGCCAGGGCCATCCCGAGAGCAGACAGACGCTCACGGGCCAGCAGAGAGGAGCAAGGAGCCCTGGGCTCCTCTCAGTGTATCTCAGCTGGGCTCGCTCCACAGCACGCCCCCATTGGAAGGCCTGCTGATGCCCAGCAGCCAGAAATGCCTCCCTTGTGCTCTCCAAGCTGCACAGGGAGAGCCAAGGAGCAGGACACCTTGGCAGGCAAACCTTCCAAGCCTTTGCTGTGGCCAGGCACACACCAAGATCAGCCAAGACTCTCCACCACACTGCCTGGCCCACCCAGCCCAGCTCTGTGCTGGCCCTGGGCCACAGCAGCTCCCAGCATGCAGGAGGCACATGCATCTTGCCAAGAGATGCAACACAGCAGACAGGGAAGATGTGAAAAGTGAGTGTGTAAAGGCCTTTTAATTCACAGCTCCCACAGAGAGCTTTGGGGCTCACAGATGGACAGAGATGGTTCTGCTCACCCCTCTGTCCAAAGGGGGATGACACACGCTGCTGCAGGTGCTTGGGTTGGTCTCTGCAGGTCCAGGTGGATGCCAAATCTGCTCTTCACAGGCTTCTCCCTTCCCCCGCCCCTCTGCCAAGTCCAGAGGGCCTCAAGGACCAAAAGGAGCACAGAGAGCCAAAGGGGGACACTTGCACCTGCCTCACTGGGAGCTCCCTGGGAAGCACTTTCCTTGAGAAGCAAACCCCTGTCCTCCAAATGCATTACCCCAAATGTGCAGCTTTTCTGCTCTACACCAACACACCCTCAAGAAACGCTGGCAAGGCTGAAGGACTTCATGTCCTTTCAGGACAGGCACTCCAGCTCCAGCTGCTATTCCCCCAAGTGCCTTTCCAGGTGGAGGCTCAGACGTGCAGCCCCAGGCCCTCTACAGACACAAGCTGCTCACGGCCTCTTCACCTGCCTCAACTCCTGCCTGCGCTCCTGGCACCAAGACCAGGCTGTTCCCAGCCAGAGCCCAGAGCCCTGCTCCCGCAGGACGCTCTTGCCAGCACCTTCCAGGCCTCTCTGCTGTGCACACAGCGCTTTTCATGCCCACTCCAGTGGGTCTCTGATTCAGTCAAAGAGAGAAACGGAGAGTTTCTTGCCAGACAGAAGCCTGGGAAAGATTTGGAGAAGAATGTAAATAATTCTTTATCTCTCATGTTGTTCACATTGTTTGTAGTTAAGTTCTATCACTGTGCGTCAAGCACTCTGCACCAATGGTGTTGCTTGTTTTCACTTCAGGAGCAATGGAATTGATCCTCACAAAGCTCTGTATAAAAGACCAGTGTATTTTGAATACACCAGAGTTTTACACTCAGTAGCCTTTGGAGTCTGCCTTCTCATTCTCATCCTTGTTCGACAGCGACAGTTTATGATGTTGGCAAAGCAACCCAGGAGAGCAGTGAGGGACTGGCCTCGACTGGGAACTCTCCAGAGTTACTGACTTGATATTTACTGTAAGGCTTCACCCAGTTTTCCATCTTGGATCGGGAAATTTCTTCTGGGAAAGTGTGTGCATTTGTAGATAAGGCTCTTTAATGCCACGTATTGTGTGGGCCTCCAGGTGTTTGCTGTGTCATAGCAGCAGATGCACAGCAGATCAGGCAGAGCTGAAAGGAAAAGGCCACAGCACAGAGCAAGGGGAGCTGCTGTAGCTGAAAATCCAGAGGGAATTGAGGGCCTGCATTGCTGGTCTGAGTGTCTTTGCACAAGGGCAGAGGGTTTAGACTGGAGAAGAGGAGGCTCAGAGGTGACCTTATTGCTCTCTACAGCTTCCTGAAGGGAAGTTGTAGACAGGTGGGGGTCGATCTCTTCCACCGGGGAGCAACTGGCAGAACAAGAGGACACAGTCTCAAGCTACGTCAGGGAAGGTTTAGGTTGGATATTAGGAAAAAAATTTTCACTGAAAGAATAATAAAATACTGGATTTGTCTTCCCAGGGAGGTGGTGGAATCACCATCTCTGGATGTGTTTAAAAAAAGATTGGACTTGGCACTCGGTGCTATAGTCTAGTTGTGGTGTTAGGGCATAGGTTGGACTTGATGACCATAGACGTCTCTTCCAACCTCATTATTCTGTGATTCTGTGATTCTGTGATTCTGTGATTCTGTGATTCTGTGATTTGCTCTCACTGCTTTCGGGGTGTCTGCTTGTCTCCCTGAAGGTAATGAGGAAACATCGCTGTCCTGTCAGCTGAGCTGGGAAAAAGGGAAATAAAACAAGTGATTCCTAAAAGTAGAAAATACTTCTCTTGCAGGCAGCAGGTGGTGATTAAGAAGCAGAGCCTGTGTTTTTTAAGGACTCTATACTCTTTACTTGCCTGAAGACTTTTTTTCCTTTCTTTTTTCATCTTTTTTTGTTTTTTCCTTTTTCTTTTTGCAGTGTGAGATTGTGTGGTTGTGAATGCATGACATCTCACTGCTGAGCATGAGGGACAAAAGCTGTGTCTGGGCCATGTTTTCAAGTAGACAATGCAAAGAATGGATTAAATGAGAGAAATCAAATAGCTGCTCCATCAAAACTCTCTCGCTCTACTGGGGGATCCTGCATGGATGGGAAGGAGCAAAGTAAGGGCCAAAGATGTTTAGCAGCCTTGAAATTGCTCCATACTCCTCTTTTTGTTCCTGAGGCTGGGGACACTACATTTACACCAAATGGTGTTCTCTCTAAAGGAAAACTAAATGGGTTGTGAAGAGCAATTCAAGTCCCCAGGGAAATACAAGGAAACTAAATCAGATTGAGCATGTCAAAACGATCTCAGGTGATAGAGTTATGGGAGAACAAGGAAAGACGTCGACAAATATGGGAGGGAAAAATAGGTGCTGAGTGTTTTGAAGCTTCCTGCGTCAATCCAACTGGGACCAAGGGCATCCTGACCTTCCCAGGAAGCTGCTCAGGAGATTTGTCCCCAGGCTCTTCAAAAACCAAAGCTTAAAAAGAGCCAGACAGCAAAAATGAAGGCTAAGTTATTCTGACTGTATACTAAATGATGCTCCTAGTGCGGAATTTGGTGAAAAAGCAGATGTCACATTCCACTGTGGGGAATGGTGATGAGTTCTTTTAAAAGATCCAGAACTGAGATCACCATCATTTGTAGTCATGACTGGGAGCAAATGGAACTAAACAACTGTGAGAAATGAATTGTCAGTGGATTGTCTGCCCTTTTAGTGGAGTGTCTCAAGATTTACGTATATTTAAAGTACCACTTCTTTTGTGGTCTTTGCACTGGTGCAAGTTTTCTAACAGAGCCAGCTTTATTATAATTTAGAAAAAAAAAAATCTGGGGAATGCCATAGAAACCAAATATAGGGAGTAAGAGTTAGAGAAAATAGATTAAAATAGTGGGGGAAGACAATCCCAAGGTAATCCTAAAATATGCCAAGGGACACTATTAATGGTATCTTTTGGAGACAAATGCAAGCAAGAAAAAGAAACTGGTCTCTCCTTGGGAAGCT